GCATTATTTCAATTGCCCATAATAATAACAAAGTTGAACTCATGGTCTGATGCCCACTTGTTTTTTGGTGCAAGATATCTCCTATAATACGATCTTTATACGATTGTTTCCTGTTTTTGTCACCTTGAATTTATCATATTTTTAATTCACTATAAGACTTGACTTATAGAGGGGGTTTTGTGCATCTTCTATAGTTTCTTGAAACTTGTCATGATTTAGAAAACTCAAAACCATTAGAGGAAATATCTAGTTACCATACAGGGCAAAATGTTCGCAGGACGAAAATTTCATAAAAATGAGTCAGAAAGATATTTGTAGTTTTTATTTTCATGAATTCACTGCAACAGACCAATAAATATCATATGACCAGTTATTTTTGTGGTTGAAAATGTCGCGGATTTACTTTATCGGCAGAATTTGCGTCCCGCAAACATTATGCCCTGTACAGTATTCAAATTTATCTATTTATTTAGAGGGGTATCTTAGAGTTATTTTACTTTGTGTAAGGTACATATACATTGTACATGGGCAGATTTACTTGGTTGCTAACACTAAGCATTGTTCTGCCTATGATGGTTAAAACCATCTCAACAAATGAACAATCAGTTTGATCTCTTGGTTTAATAGCCATGTTATTCTAGTATACATAAGTTTCAAAGGAATAATTTTGGTCTTTGACCACTTCTTTTTCTAGGCAGAACATAATGATAAGTTGTCTGTTTTCAATAAGAAAATCAAAAAATGTAAGTGTGATAAACATGCCTTGCTTCCTTAATTATCACATTATGAACAACATATGGACCAATTAATACACCATTAACATTATTATTATGCTTAACATTATGCATTCTCTCCATATCCTGTAGTATTACATGTATAACATTCACTAGCTGTAATTGTTAATTAGATTATGTGCCCACACAAACAATAATTAGACACTGTTTAGAATGCTTAGAAACTTTAATGGCTACTACTTTGTGTTTTTAGCAATACATGTACTAGTCTCATCCCACCCCTTCCCTACCTAAGGGAGTGAGTGAGACTATACATGTATATGTATACTCTTTACACATGTGTATTAAATTTTTACTATAGTTTTAGAGTGATATTATGATGATGTTTAGGGTAGGCAAATTATACTTCAATTTCTGCCTATTATGCTTTTAAGGCACTGCCCCAAATTCCATCCTATTAGGCTTTGAAATGAATCCTATTAGGCTCATTGTTATGCTGATATAATCAAATATCAAGTTACATGTACATGCATCTGTTGTAATTGCAATATTATAATAATGCCAGAATCTAAAATGTTTCCAGACTTTGAGTCACTGCAAAATAGCACAGCCTAAGCCACTGAACTTGCCACACTTGCATGTTACTTAAAATCATGAGGTCAGTCGGAAATTTTTGACCTACCGTATAGCGCTTTATTTTGGCGGCACTTTATTTTGGCGATTTTGCTATAAAATTGTAATTGGCGGTTTTTAATTTGGCGATTTTGTGTGCATGTGCATTACTGAACATGTGCATTAATGACTGGCGGTTTTAATATTGGCAATTCTGCTTCCAAACTGCCAATCGCCAAAATAAAACTCTGCCAAATTAAAGCGTTATACGGTATGCTCCCATTATGCTAGCATAATAATTTGCCCCATTATGCTCCAAATTATGCTAGCATAATTTGCCTAGCCCTAATGATGTTTCTATTAGATAACTTGTTATATTCAAGATATTCAAGAGCTGAAGTCCCACACTCCAATAGAACATGTTGATTATGCAGCACTGTCTGAAATAGGAACTGAATTGGCACAAAGTAGGTGACAATACACATTATCCCTTTATAAAAATAGCATAGCAAAGTATATGACAATACACATTACCTTATAAAAATTGATTGGCAAAGTAGTGACACATTAATGTTTAATAATACTCATTAAAGTCTCTAGCATGACCTCATTTAATTATGTACACATGCATATTAACTCCTTTTTTTTTTCTGGCCCTTCTATATTGCAGGGTGTGACAGATGAAAAGTCCTATTCTGAAAACATTCGTAACGTCCTTAAAATAGAGTCCAAGATAGAAGGAGGTTGCCCTGTTTTGTTAGACAAGGAGCAGGCATTAGTTAGAAAGGGTAAGTACCTACATTAATTGCTAAGTTATTTTTCATCTCTTCTTAAAGGTATTCTCTGTATCTGGAGACAGGATGATAAACTGCTCACTTTCTCCAGAAAGACAAGAAGGAGGCAGAACTATTGCTTCCTGTTTTCAAAGCATTTCCTAGTGACACAGAGAGTAGAGAAGAAAGGAGAAGAGGGATACCGTCTGTTGAAAGAGAATGGGTTACTGTCACTCGCTAAATGTAGGATACATGAATATGCCCTCCCTGAGTATCCAGGTAACGTAATACATGTACATGTACATAGTATCTACCTTAAGGAGACAATTATTAGTGTGTACTTATTTTAGCTATTTTAATGATACTGACATTTGGCTGGCATTTAGTTTAGCTTTTTGATCATGTGATAAGTTATTAAGAACTACATGTATTAATAATTTAATCAGATTTAATATTAGTGCAGACTTAAGTTCGCGATTTTTTTCATTGCTAAAATTTGCTAAGTTAAGTACCCACAAACAATTGTCTCCTTAAGGTGTGAATTTATTTATGACTGGTTATGTATATTGTAACTCTCAAAGACTCCATCATCACTATTTAACTCTTATCTCTCTCTTCTTTGTTTTTTTATTTTTAGAGTTACGTTTTCTCAGTTTTGGTCTTGAGATTGATGATGGTTCACAGAGTCAGTCCAAACAGAAGTTGATATTTATTGCAATGTCAGTGGCAGAGAAGGCACAGTGGATAGCTGATATTGCTCAGGTACAGCGTATATAAATTTTGTTTCAAATACTTTGAATAAATACTAACCATGTCAATAATTGCTATTT